TCTTTATTAACATCTCAGGTCACTATTTTTCTGTCATTGAAAATTTCTCAGAGGGTGGTGGCACGTGCCTTTAATCCCTGGGGAGCCAGAGGCAGGTGGATCTCTGAGTTCAAGGCCAGTCTGCTCTACAGAGACAGTTCAAGGACAGCCAGGGCTACACAGCAATGCCCTTTCTCAAAAAAAAAAAAAAAACAAGCTAATAATAATAATAATAAATAATAATAATTACTATTAATAAAATTAAAAAGTTTCTCATGAGAATAATCACCTCCACACATTCAGTGAGAGCCTTAGTATTTGTCAACAGATCATCACATATTAAATTCATTTATTTCTATTACAATACTATGCATGTTACCTTTGCATCATTGATTTCCTCGCAAGTCTTCATGTCCAGATATTTGTTTGCACATAACTGATACTTCCCCTGGGTTATGATTAAGGAAGTCGGGCATTACTCTTATGTAGCATAAGTCCACACATAGACTGAGCCAGTCACCTCTACAGTCTCAAATTCATGGTATTAAGGTTATTGCTTGGGATTCAGCCCTAGTAATCTGATGTCAGGGGCCGAATCAGGTTCCTTTGTCCAGTTCTTTGAGTTATCTTACTGAAGCTATTATGCTATGAGAGGTGTGATTTAAGTAAAACCAGAAAGTCCTTAGGGACTAGATTGCTGCATAAGTTCCCACATAATCACGTCATTATTTCTATTCATAAAGAGAATAGAACTATTCAGCACACTGGATAGCATCATAACTAGGTTTTCTGCAGTGATCCCAAGCTAAATCAAATTCTTGGACTCAATTAGAACCAATAGTATTATGGGGGAAAAAGAAGTCAAAAGGAGACAAGACACAACACGTTTTTTGCACTATTTCAGACATAGAAGTTTAAATGTGGTCCTTGTACTATACAAAATATATAAGTAAAATTAAAACATAGAACACAATTGACCGAAGACTCACCAGATCAAATGGCGTCTGGCACACAGTTCAACATTTGCAGTGAGGCATGCTGGCATAGACTTTAAATCCTTTTAATGTAGAGGTGGAAACCAGAGAATTGCTACAAATTAAAGGCTAGCGTAGACTTCATAGCAAATTCCAGGTAGTCATGATTACACAGGAAAACTCTATTTCCAACAAAATAAAACAAAACAACAAGACCACAAAAATAGATATGTAGTAAAATAAGAAAAAAAATGCTTCCATTGGTTCGGCAGCTCATTCTGACAATCTGAGCTCTTGCAATGTAGAGCCAGGGGGACTGCCACAATCTGAGGCTAGCCTGAATTTCAAAGTGAGTTAGTTATAGATCAGCCTGGTTTACAGAGTGTGACTCTCTCTTTCTCAAAATAAAACAAAACAAAACAACATTAGACAAGACAAAACAAAAATAAACTAAACACATAGGGGTAGGGGTGCAGATCTGACTGAGTAAGAGCACTTGTGTAGCAACACAAGGACCTGGGTTTTATGCCCAGCACCAAAACACTCATGTAAACAAGCATGCACATGCATGCATAAACACACACACACACACACACACACACACACACACACACACACACACACATACACACACATGCATATATGCACATATAACATTCACAACTGTTTTAAGAGCATATTTTTTCTATGGATGGCTTTTTGTCAATATACAATGTATCCATAAACAACAGAGTGTGTGGAAATATTGGTCCTCTTGACTTTATAACCTGTATGGAGAACTCTGACAGAGTTCAGTGCTGTGAAGGAGAGCTACAGAAAACAGTGGGCTTAGAAATGGCCTAAGGAGACTGGAAGAGAGAAGGCAGGAGATGGAATGGAGTATTACTGGGTGAAGTGTGGAGATGGAGTAAGAAAGAGGTCAGAGAATTAGACCTACGTAGCTGTACAGGCAATGTGATGGAAGAGAAGTGATGCATGGTCAAATGTAAGTTTTAACAGGATTCCCCCCATTTCAGGTTGCAATTAGTTCTTTATTAAGGAATCGGTGAGGAGTGAAGCATTCTAATCTTTAAAAATTATTTCTATCACTCATATTTTTTACTTCCTAAAGTAACAGGATCTTTTCAGGCTGTTTTCATTTCTTTCTCACTTACTAATTGAATAAAGATGTTTACAGACACATGTGTGTTTCTGCCCACATAATGTCACTCAGACTGAGTACCTGTATACCTCTCAATACTGAATAGGATGTCACAGCTATGATAATTCAGTCCTCTTGAGGACTCCTCTAAATTTTCTCACACACACTCCATAATAAGTCTCTCCCTGCATGTCTTCTTAGCATGATTTCCTGGCACATTTCCTGTTTGCTATTCAAAGCCACCTCAACATCTACAAAACCATCACCATTCTCTTCATTGTTATCAAGAAAAACAGTGATGATTAAGCAAAACTGTTAGGATCAGGATACATATCCGTTTGCTAAAGCATCTATTTGTGTGTCAAATGCTTTTGGACAGTTTCATGCATTTGCAGTGTCTAACATGGAATCTTCTGAAAACCACATTCAGGTGTTGACTTAAGTCACTGCGTATAAGACTCGGGTTGGAACATGTGCACAATACAGAATTGTTGGACATTTGATACCTTGTCCCACTTCCATAAATACATCTGTCAGGGTGAGACTAAGTTTCTGGAGACAGACTTTCAGTGGATTGTCACTGGGAAGCCCAAGGGAACTGGGTGATGAGATAGAGAATGTTTGTGCTTTCTGCTGTGAATTTGAAGCCTCTGTGTCCCGGTAAACATTCCCAGCTGTTTATGTGAATAGTTTATGTGCAGAATGTACCTTTACTGTCTCCTCAATTCAAACAGCAGTTAACTTAGGTCTTTTAAGTTACTATAACTTCAGTTTTTTCTTTGCCCCTTACTAAGTTGTCATGTATTTTTTTTATATTCTCTATTAAAAAATGCAAGACCCCTTGTATCCAAAGGCATTCTCTTACATATTTTAATATATGAATCTTCCATACTAAGTAAGTAATTTATTTGTAATGGGTAATAACCACATGCTTTGTTTGGGAGTTCATATATGACATCCATGATATATTTGTTAGCATGAAAGATATACATTAGGGATAAAGCAATTATTATACTATGCTTTTATTGTTTGCATATATGCATACAGAGGTACAGAAATATATTTCTCACTATATCCCTGAATGGATATATAATAGTTTGAGCTGGGCGGTGATGGCACACGCCTTTAATCCCAGCATTCGGAGGCAGAGGCAGGAGGATCTTTGTGAGTTCAAGGCCAGCCTGGTCTACAGAGCGAGATCCAGGAAAGGCGCAAAGCCTCACAGAGAAACTCCGTCTCGAAAAACCAAAAAAAAAAAAAAATAGTTTGAGATTGCATAAAATTTGATTCCACTATTTCAATAATAAATTACTATTTTGAACATGGATATTGAATGAAAAAAAGAAAGAAAGAAAGAAGGAAAGGAAAAGGCAAGATTGCACCTGGGATTGGAGGAGGAGAAAGTTTACTGTAAACATATGGGGCAACATAGTCAGAGGCACGAATATCTGGGAGAGTCCAGAGTGAACATGACCAAGGCTGAGCTGAGCCATGTGGGAGAGGGGGAAGGGGAAGAAGGGAGAGAGGAAGACCAGATGCAGCAGCCAGGAGGCCAAAGGTACAAGGAGTGCATGAGTGACCAAAATGTCTGGATTATATAGGGAATAACATCTGTGGGAAGGGCAGCCCAGCCCCTGGGCTGGAGAGTTCAGGGTAGAGGGTGTGGTTATGCCATGATCCATACCCAGTAACAGGTAGGGACTGAGGGATACCTGGAGAACCTAGTGGCCAGTTCCAGCTTTGATGTTTTAAATAAGCACTTCAACTGTTTGTCCTGGGCTTGGAACTTAACTGATGTCAATTCTAAATTCTTAGGAGGTGATGTAGTCATACATATGTGTAGCCCTACATATGATGTGCTGCTATCAGAAAAGCATTATTTTCACCAATGTCTTATCTTTTCATTAGTAAATAGTAGTGATTATGAATTAAAATCTGTTGAATTGTACACTTTCCAGTTTCCCAGTGAAGGAAACCAACTGATACCGGTGTAGTCTTCAAATGTGACATGGTTTTCAGCTGTCAAAAGATCGGAGAGTGGATAAAGTGATAGAACAGCTACAGGAGCATGTGTGGGAACTCAGGGGCTTGTAAGATTTCAGAATAGTCCGGTCATTTATATGACTTTAACTACAGACAGTAGATGGCAGGGTCTTTGCTTTACAGTGTTTTGTTCTTGCCTTAAGAACATGCGTTATCTCCTGGGTGCCACAAACCTCAGAGCTCCTAGCTTCTCTTCTTGGCTTGGTGTACCCTTCACCACTATTCACTTTTTTATCTTAATAAACATTCCCTGGAAAACAGTGTATGCTGTATTTCAAACATGTATCCGCAAAAGGTTGAGGCAAGGGTTTTTGTATAGTCAAAGGATCAAATTCATTAGTTTTTGTTCAGATCTTAAAAACAATTGAGGCCCGGAACTAACTTCTGAAATAGAATGTTGGTCGTGTTCACAATAAGCATCATGACAACAGGGCTGAAAACACCAAATGTGTCTTGTGTTTTAACATACAAGCTTTGCCCCTGTCATTAAGAGAGTAAAGGTGTTGGAGAAGGGCATATTCAAAAGTCAGATTTAGATCTCAGAATGCATGATTATGTATGAATACGTGAGCCGTTCTCTTGCTAAATGGAAGCAATATCGGCTGATAACACAGTTCAACTTAGTTGATTAACAAGTGTTCAAATCTTGGTGAATAAATGTTGGAGAAAATTATTTTTAAATATTAATGTTTCACTCAATGAAATCAAAGGGGGGATTTCCATATGTGTCTCAAAGGAAGAAGGAATCCTGTGATTCTGTGTCATCCCTCATTAAACACTTGCAAGGGCTTACTGGTGCTTTAAAAACAACCACAAGCATCTCCTTCCATATTACCTAACAAGTGATCTTTGCTGTACTTCAGGCATGAACTCCTTGAAGAAGCTCGTAGAAAAGGATTACCTTTTGCCCAGTGGGATGGACCCACTGTGGTCGCTTGGCTGGAGGTAAGCAAAGCAAGCCAAAGACTTGGCTTCAGTCAATCATTGCTAATTTGATTGTTGGAGACAGATAAAGACCCATTTCTGAAATCAAAGCTTCCCTGTATCATATCAGTTCTCATAAAGGAAACACATACATGTCTATGGACTTATGATGATGGAGATGGCACAGATTCTTTCTTGCAATGGAACAGAACAGAACACACAATGGTGTAACCAGAAGTGTCCCCACATCCTGTCCTCTTCATGTTCTGTCCTTATTCGTAGGAGGATAAATAATTACTGCCATGCTTTGGGGGTTTTGAGGAACTATCACCTCCTGTCCATCAGCCCTCATCAGTAAGAAATAAAAAAATAATTAAAAACAAATTCTTTACTCACTGAAGTAAATGCTGATGAGCTGTCTGAAATTGTATTCCTTTGTGTATAATTAATTTCCTAAAATGGCTATGGACTGGCTCAGTTTCGACTGTTGTGAATAAACAAAAGGCTGAGACCTGTGTTTCCTCCTTTGTCTAAATCACATAAGAATTCAGGTTACTTTATGATTATTAAGTTGATTGATTAATCAATTGATTAAATTTAGTTAGCTATAACAAGAACAGCATTTAGTGTTTCCTCTACAATTCAATGCTGTAGAAAATAAAGCAATATTTGACAGGCTGAAGGGAAACACTCTGACAGTGAGGGAAAGGCATATTTGACCCCAGGTTGGCTCCGTGTTACAAACCAGTAGCACCCAATGATCTTTGCATTCACTTCTCCTAGGTGGTCCAGTTGCAGCCCCTAGGATAGTTGATGTCAGGGGAAAGTATTGAGGATTTTCTTGCCTGCCCGAGACAATAGTATACATCGAGACAATTAGAGTTTATAAAGTATTTTAACTTTATCTTTATATCATATTCAGATTCAAGTAAATACCAGGTGAAGAAAAAAATTAAAGCTTATTTTGCTTTAAAAATATTCACTTAGACAGGTAGATATAAAAGCATGCTTTTTAGGTTAGTTTCCTTTCTTGGACTGACTGAAATAAGTCTGTGTTTTGCTTTTATTATATTCTTTCAAAGTAATTAATTACTGAAGTTACCTCTTCAAACCTATCTTTTAAGTTACTATGTCAAAAAAAAAAAACCCTTTGAGTACTAGAGGAAAGGTTTAAAAAAATCACATCTCAACAATGACAGGGATTCTTTGTTCAGATGTCATTCAAATTCCAATAAAATGATCCATGGTTTGACAGAGAGTTGGTTGCTATTTTGACAAAGGATGAACAAATCCTTCAGATTAAAAACAAAAACAAACAAACAAAAAAAAACAAAACAAAGAGATTTACTGACACTAATGTCCTGGGAAACAACAGTCAGTGAAGCTGGAGCTAATTAAACATATCCTGGGTGCTGAAATTGCTCCTCATGTGTTTCCTAATGTGACTCAAATCACAAAATGGAATAAACAAGATGAACAAGCATGCTGAGCCCTTGAATGGGAGCCCTTAACTTTTATCTCCTTTTCCCTCCTCCTGGTGTGCAAAGCCTATAAAGAATCGAGTGTGGGAGGCAATCTACTCCTTCCCACATCATTTATCCACCTCAAAAACTCTTCAGTGTCTAATCACAGATGACACTTGTAACAATGGATTGGCAACATTTGTGTAATGGTAAGCAGAGTGGAAATTCAAACATCTTAAATGATGACTAGGAAATCATTAGGGGTGAGTGAAGGTATGTAGATGCTGAGTTATCTTAAAGAGTTTTAGTTTATGCACCAAGAAAGATGGCCAATCATCTGTAACCTCTAGTGTCATCATCAATTTAAGCCTAATCTTAATGTTCTTCCCTTTCTGAAACTCAGCATGGACCATACAATAACTACTATATCTTGTTCAGAATTCAAAAGGAGAATTATAATGTGCTGATTAAATAAAGACCATTTAAGCTACCTACTCATTGGAACTTATGGATCAGTTCTTGTCATTATACACAAGCAGAAATTTGCTACCTATCCCTAATAATTGATATCAGTGTAGCTCTAACCACAATATCTCAATCTCAAATTAATTGCTAACTAATTGTTGTGTGGAACATATACTCAACGTCTTTATATATCTATCTCTCTAGTCAAAACTGGTAACATTTATCTCATAGAGTTGTAAACGACAGATAAATTTATATGTGCAAAATCAATCTCGACTATCTAGAGGACCTAAAAAGATATTAAAACCATGTATTAGTTAGCTTTCCTGTTGGTGTGAAAAAAAATAACGAACAAAAGCAACTGAAAGAAGGAAGGATTTCTTTGGGCTCCCATTTTGAATGTGCAGTCAATTATAGAAAGGAAGGCAGGAAGGCTAGAAGGGACACACATATGGCAGAAGGATTGTAAAGCTGCTGGTCCAGTGCACCATCAATCAGGAAGCAGAGAAAGACAATGCTAATGTTCAGCTTGCTTGTGGGTCTTTATTATTCTGAAACTGCCACTTACCGGTTGTTCTACCCACATTCAGTGTGGTCTGTTTTGCTTAGTTATACCTTTCTGGGAATTTCTTCACAGACATGCCCAGATGTGTGCTTCACAGGAGAGTCTAAAATCCCGCCAAGTTGTAATGAAGATTCAACCATGGCAGATAATCACTAAGATTATTCTAACCTCTCTATTTTTTTTTCCAACCCAACAGCTCTGGTTGGGAATGCCTGCTTGGTACGTGGCAGCCTGCCGAGCCAATGTGAAAAGTGGAGCCATCATGTCGGCTCTCTCGGACACGGAAATCCAGAGGGAGATTGGAATCAGCAACCCTCTGCATCGTTTGAAGCTCAGACTAGCTATCCAGGAGATGGTGTCCCTCACGAGTCCTTCAGCTCCTCCTACATCTCGCACGGTGAGTCAATGCGCACCCCTCTTTCCCTGCAGCTCACCTCACAGCGACCTAAGCTCACAGAGCATATTTCAGTGTCAGAATGAGTTTCAGAGTCATCTTAAAGAGATGTGACTTGCCCTTCATTAACCGTGCTGCTATTTCGAATAGGTTTTTTAATCCAGGAGCTCTAATTCCTATCAGATTCAAGAGCTGCCACCAAGATGGACTTCAGAGCTAGCATGTAAATGAGAGTTTAGAATTTCCTCCCAAGCTGAAAGATCCCAAAACTTACTGAATTTCATAAACTCCTTTTTATTTTATTTTATTTTGTTTTGTTTTTAGTGAAATCTGGCATCTTCTTGGAATTATCCCAAAGGATTACAGGTTTCTGAAGATGTACTGGTTAATTTATTACTTATAAAAAAATTTCATGTTAAAAATTGTGCATGACTTGATATTTTATAAATACAAATTGGAATGTTCTTGAATTTTCTACCCATTTACAATCCCTTTAATAACTGGATCCATAAACTAGCATTGTGAAATAACAGAATGAAAAGGGCACTCAATGTCATCAAGAAATATTCTCAAATGATATTTTATTCCACTATTTAGTAAGTTTTTGATGATAAATGTATAATCTCTTGCGTTAACTAGATTTCTCCAGCCTCACATCTTACACAACATAGCAAAATATGAGAAAATAAAATAAATTGGTGTAGAAAAGTGGTATTGCTCTATTGCAGCTTTCGGGCACAAAACTGACGTCAATGTATTTTTTAAGATGGCCTTAGGTTACCTTAAAAAGTTTTATTTGAGTCTGCTATATTTACCACCACCCCCAAGTATACTAGATTCCAAAGGCAGAAACACATGGTAAGATTTCAAAGAGGTGTATATTTCTTGTATAATTACATTTTAGTTGCTTCCTCGATGTAGTGTAAGAAATATATATGTAGTTTCTACTTACAATATTATTTTAAGTAGATAAGAATGTCCTCTGCTAATATATTCCAGCTAAAGGTAATTTAGAATATACTTGTAGTAATATTTGAGGCCATTAAAATTCTTATTATTGTAAACCAAATTCAGATCTGAAGGCTTTTATGAGTGTTTACAACTGAGAAAATAGCATTGTAATTGGCTTATAGAGAGTTCTCTTCTCCCAGAAGTAAATACAGTATGAAGAAACATTTTATATATTCAAATCCTGCACAAATCAGTCCAGTCAGACTTCCAACTTCCAGGTTTAAAGAACAGGATATACTATCTCATTTCGTTAAGTTGCAAAAGCAAATCCCTTCCTTAGTGGAAACATGTTTTGAAAAAAAGCACATTTTCCCCTAAGATGTTTACCCTGAAGCAAGTTAAACTACAGATTAAAGATAAAAAACTACATGGAGTTGTTTCAAAAGCAGACAAAAATGAGGACTGCTTAAGATACTCAGAATTTAGCTGCAGTTTGCCTCGAAAGCTTATTGTGTTATTGTTGTTGTCCCTACAACATTTTTCTCACTCCAGGGTCACAAGACCTCCCCAATACACCTCTCACTTATTGGTCTCTGAAAAGCTTTCTGATAAAAACCCAACAATCTAGGTTTCTTTCCTACCATGCATTAACATTTCGTATACATTTAAACATCTTTTTCTAAACGATCTCTTTTCTTGGCTCATCTTAGACTAGACTAAACAAGGATAATGCCAGTGTTTGCCCAAGGCCTTAAAACTGTCATCAGGTACATTGTAATTATTCTAAATATTCACCTAAAACATAAACATTGCAGGGCTGAGCAATGTTTCAATGGATAATGCTCTTGCCATGTGACCTTGGGGACAGAGATTTAGATCCGCAG